GCCGATTCGATGATACGGAACAACGCCAGCGTCAAACTCGATTTTCCAGCACCTGCAATTTTCAATTTGAATTTGGTTAGTTTTTGATACCTCTTTACTGTATCGAAATGGCTAATAATGAACTGATGAATGCAAAAACAATTCAATTGGCTGAAATAGATTTCAAATATCTCACCTGTACGTCCGACAATTCCAACTTTCTCGGTTTCTCTTATCGTGAACGAGACATTGCGCAGCACCAGATCAAGTCCCTCTCGATAACGTACATCAAAGTTTTTGAATTGTACTTTACCATATTCTGGCCAGTTCTTTGGTACGACAGCGTTTGGATTTTCCCATGCTGCTTCTTGTTTAGTTTCAGCATATTCTTTGATACGTTCAACGGCAACAATGTTGGTTTCAACTTCACTGGTCATACGCACCAGCCAGTTCAATGTTTGCGTGATTTGCAATGCGTACGAGACCGAAAGTCCAACCATACCCGGATCGATTGAGTTGCGACTCAAGACAGCAAACAGAGCGGCAAACAAAATGATTAAATTACCAACCATTTCCAAACGAACAGCCAACCAACGATTCGCGAACACCGATGGAGCGTAGCATTTTTGATTGAAATCGACTCGATTATCGGAATCTGCGATAAACCTGAGTTAATGTGAAAGTAATTTTTTTTAGTTGGCAATTTTCATAGGCAAAATTGCATTATGTTTATTCTCTAACAATTTAGTGGTTTTCAAAACCTATTTGATTCTATTTACCTTTCTTGAACGTTGTACGCCCGAATGGTCGGTGCTCCTTGAATGGATTCGCCAAAGTGAGAATAGATTGGTGATCTTGATACCGATTCAAGACGTTTCAATTGACGTGATGAGGCCACATAGAATCGTTGTACAAAATAGTAAACGATACCAATTGGCAGAATAACGGCCATAAATTGGTATGTTGATACACTGATTACGACCAACGTTGACAAAACCTTAATTAGTTTTCGATAAAATCAAGAAAACGATTAGTATTTGAATAGAAATAGAAACGGAAAGTTAATTGAAAGAGAACAAAGGAAATGATAGAAATGATTGAAAGCTTGATTTACTATAAGTTTTTTTTTGTTCATATTTTGACCCATAAAACCCCAGAAAAGATAGTGATTTGCCAAAAGTGTTTTTGAAAATTTTGAGAGAGAAAAAAAAACGTGTTAAAAAAGGTGATGATTAGAGGCGTGAAGAAGGTAATCGCGCTTTGCAGATCATACACGCTTGATGAGGCCTTAAAGCAAATTGGTCAACTTACGATCACATTGTTTATTCTATTTTTAATTTTTCGTGCGCACTCAATCAACACGTAAATATTCAAACAATTGTTATAGTCTTGCTTTTATTCGATTGGTCGGATGGTTGTGTAAATGAAAAATTACCTCGGCTGCACAGTAAAGAAGCCATTTCAACGACTCGGGAAGCGTTATGTCGAGAACGTCAATGTCTTTGGAAAATCGTGATAAAATTCGACCACTTGGTGTTTGATCGAAAAATGTGATTGGTGCATGTAAAATACCATACAACAATGACTTATGCAGATTTATGGCGGCAAACAAACCGGCTGACCGTAACATTAGTTCGGCCATTATCGACGACATGGCTGGATTGCAACAAAAATATATCGATAAACAAACAACGATTAACATAAAATGCTTGATGAAAAGAAACTAACAATTTCACCATAAATGAGATCATATACATGAACTCATTCAACTCGCTACTTGATACGGTTGTCGACGTCTAATTACAATTTGGTGCAGTTTAAAGCCGAGTGCAAAAATTGGCTTGACTAAAGCAAATTACTGGGGTTACAATGTTAGAAAGCAATCAAACATAGTCTAGGCAACTATTCTTTGCTCATGAGTCGAGTCTCTGAAATGCAATTCTGGCATGAAATATAATTCGTGACGGATATTATAAAAGCCACAGATAAAATTCAACGCATCCATTCTTTTGTTAAGTGTTGAATTTTCTGGTGATATAAATATGAATGTTATTAGTTTTGGTTTCTCTAATGTTTTTACGCACACATCTCATCATTTGAGACTCTAATATACATTATTATTATTGCATTTACGCCGTTCCCTATTAAATCCATATTTTTGACGAAAATTTTCGTTTTTGTCCGTTTGTTATGTGATGAGAAAATTACCTCCATTGCACAGTACAGTAATTCACTCAAAAATTCGGGAAATGTTTGATCAACAACTTCAATGTCTTTGGAAAATCGTGATAAAATGCGACCGGTGGGCGTTTGATCAAAATATGTAAGTGGTGCGTGTAAAATACCGTTCAATATACCGTTATGAAGATATAATGCCGCATATAAACAACCATAGCGTAGCAAAAGTTCCATAATTATCGTCGAAATGGCTATTTTCAACAACGAAAAAATTTAAACCGAAATATAAGATTTAATAGTGAAAAAAGTGGGAGGTTTCTTCTGTTCTATTCAAATTGATCTGTCCATAGTAATGAGTTATTCAATGCGCGTGCGGTTAGACAGAAGTTCTAATCCTCTGAATCTATGTTGAAAATACATTAATTCTGGAAACAGAATTTCTTTTAATGTTTGGCCAATGTCGAATTTTTAATATATTTTCCTGTTAATCCGTAAAGAATATGTACAGAGCCCACATGTACACAGCCCTGTAGTGTCCATCCCCATTTTCATAGCTACTTTAACATATTCACGTGAACTTCACAACTAAATAAAAACGATTAGGTGCTGATAATAAGTCATTGGCATGGCAGGTGCATACATTTTAACACAAAAACCCACATAAAGTGTTAGTGAGCATTTGGAAGCGAATGAATTGTTGGCGATTTCTCTTGGACTAATTTCGAGGCTGATTTTGACCGTGATTATGGAAACATTTCATGATCATCATCTTTGGAAGTAGAAAACGAATCAAGCAGGCAAAAAATACGACGAAAAAAAACAAAAACAAAAAAAAACAAGGAGTATTTACACGTGTCATAGCTTACAGTTAATTCATATTGGCACCTACCCGAAAGAATACTTGTAATATTTGTCTTAAACTCATTGGCAAGTTATGATCGACAGTGTTCATATCTGTGGAGAAGCGCGATATGATACGACCTCTTGGCGTCGTATCAAAGAAATGCTGCGGTGCACCCATTATGCATTTCAATAAAATGTGATGCAGGTTTAAGGCCGCTTTCGTGGTACCATATGCAAGCATAGCTGATCCAACTAATACCGCGATCACTATGCCATTTGTAATATGACGCATGATTGTAATGAGGGAGGCGCGAGTTAAAGTAAGATTATTATTATTGACGCAAAAAGTGGTGAAGGAGGAAAGAGAGAAAATATAAAACGTATGAATTAGCTAACGGAAAATTTGTTTGCGAGAGAAAAATGGATCTTAAATTATATTCGCTAGTCTCCAATGGAAATTAAATTAGTCAAAAATTGGCAAAATCAAAACCAAATAACACAAATTATGATTACGTTAAACTCATGCAAAGAAACATGATTTAGTGGCAAGTGTTAGAATTCAAAAAGGAACTCAATTACCGAAGAGAATACGGAAATGAAAAGGAAAAACTTATTTTTAAAAGAGAAATTCTTCGAAATAATATTATTATCCTTATAAGGAAAATATTCTTGAGATAAAAGGTAGCTTGTGATTAAAAGTGGTTGTGGAGATTGAAGAACCATTCCGATTGCAAAAAGTATTTAAAAAAGAGGAGAGATACTTCCAATTCATCAACAGTATTACAGATCAAGATTTGTTTGCTTGAAATTAAAAAAGAAAGAGAATATTTTGTTAAAGGAGGAAGTTTAAATGATTTGAGAAAAAAAGAGATCCAATGATCGAAAGAGCTGATCATTTGAAAACACCACAGACTTAAGCACATTGGAAATACTTCAACCATTTCGTTTTCTGTGTATTTTATTTTGTTGAGAATAAGAAGGAAGTTTTAATTGAAGTGTTTGAAGAGGAAGTTTGAAGATTTTTTTTTTTTTTGAAGGAAAAAAATACCGTAAAAATGCATGATGCCCATGCTCTCAATGTGGCAGGGAAATCATTATCAACTTCACTGACATCGTGACTGAAACGATTGATAATACGTCCGAGTGGTGTACGGTCAAAGAAGGCCATCGGAGCGCGAATAATTTTGTACAATAAATCATTGTGCAAGAAACGAGCCGCTCCCAATGCTCCAAGGAACATTGATAATGTCGCTAGAAACACGCTCACCACTAATTTTTTTTTTTGATGAAATGAATGAAAAAAAAAACAACAACATAATCGGGTTAGACACTTGCTCTTGCAAAATGATCGACTTAATAACGTTGGTTAACTAAAAATTCACTCTTAAATCAGATATCTACTTGGCTAATACACTGATTTTAGTTTACAACGGCAGTTGATTGTTGTTATCGAACACAAACATAGGAAAAATACCAAAAAACTGAATTGAATCTCCCCTAAAACATTTGATATGGCCCCAATTTTTTTTAATTTTGTCTTATTACAAGACTCTGGTTCACATTCGTCGTAAATAGTAAATCAAGCTGACACTTTTATCGGTATGATACGTAGCTTTGCAAAATTTTACAAAGAATCGAACTGATAGTTATTCGAACAAACAACAATTGATGATTGAATTATTTGACATTTCAGTGTGCAGAAAAAATGCATTTTATTTTACCGCGAAAAACATCATAATCCATGATCGAATGACTTGTGGCAATACGTTGTCAACTGTGTCCACATCTTTTGAGAATCGATTCAACACTCGACCGACTGGCGTTGTGTCAAACAATTCCATCGGCCAACGAAGCACATTTGTTAATAAAATATCCTGCATTTTTCTTGCCGAATAAATAAAACCAAGCGATATAATTAACGCCGTAACAAAACTGAGCAGAACTATAAATATAAGAAAAAGTTGAATTCGTTAGAAAATAAATTAGGATGAGGATTTTGAGACAAATACAATAAATAGGGCCATATTTAGGTGATATGAAAATGAAAATTTTGAACGAAAATTCGATGAAAAAATCAACTCTTTTTTGTTTTCTCTGCTAGTTCAAATCTACCAAAATTAACTAAATATTTTGTTAGATACACATGCACTAATCATAATAAAACAAAAAAACTGGACTAACAAACCAAAACGTATTACGAAAGGTCGAGAAACATCTTACCTTGTCCTAAACCAAAGCCAGCATAACCACCCAAATACAGATTTCGTTTATCGGTATCATTGGCGGCTGCCTTATCGTTCGACCACTTTGCAAGCCACATGTTCGATCCAATAGCAAATCCTTGGTAAACGATGTTCAAGATGATGGTTAAAATAGTTAACGAGACACCAATACTCTTGAGGTAATGCTTGTATACATCCCATTTAACACTTCCAACTTCGGCCTTCTCTTGTTCGATGAGCTTTTGTCCATCGGCCTCCGGCTTTTCAGCCTTTAAGCTACTATTCGAACCATGTTTGACTGATCGTCTGCGAACGCCATCCTCATTTTCAATTGTACTTTCGGCCGATACATATCCATTCAATGACGCCGTTTCCGAATGACTTTCACTTCGCGATCGACTTATTGCTCGTTCAAGTTTTCCACGTAGTTCTGTATCTTGGTTCGTTACCAATGTTGATTCGATTTGCTCTTTAATCAAATCCAAATCTTCTTCGTCTTCGTTCACTTCTTGCAAATGTTGGATCAAAAACTCGGCAAAGTCACCCTTTTTGCTCATCAACTCTTGCAATGTACCCGATTCACTAATTTCACCTTCCTTGACCACATAAATATTATCCACATTTGGCAAATAGGTGATGCCATGCGTCACGAGTAATCTGGATTTCGTGGCCAAAACACCCGTTGGTCCGATAACATTTTCGAAAATATGCTTGCCGACATGAGCGTCCACCGCGCTGAGAGGATCATCCAAGAGGTAAATATCGGCATCGTTGTATACAGCACGTGCGAGTGAGACACGCTGCTTTTGACCACCAGACAAATTGATACCCTTTTCACCGATTTCCGTTGCATCGCCACCTGGAAGCATCTCAAGATCCGGTTTCAATGCGCAAGCAGCAATGACTTGATTGTAACGCTTGCGATCCATTGGCTTTCCGAACAGAATGTTGTCTTGAAGTGTGGCGTTCTGAATCCAAGCCTGTTGCGAAACGTATGCAATTGTTCCGGTTGTATTGACACGACCCGATAATCGGTCCATTTCACCCAAGAATGCGGAAATGATCGAACTTTTTCCTGCTCCGACGGTACCAACAACAGCAACCAAATTGCTTTTCTTCACTTGCAAATTGATATTCTTTAGGCAAGGTTCGTCATTGCCCCAACTGAATGTTCCATTTTCAATTGACAAAGGTGCTGCTGCGATAGCGAATGAAGATAAATTAAACAAATTGAAATTATTTTTGACATTTACAATGATATATTGTTACAAGTTAATATAGTTCTTACCATCAGATGGGTCATGTGATACATTTTGTGGGTCCAATTCTTCGCTGTTCATAAATTTGTTGATTCGGTTCACAGAAACACTAGTCTATATTTTCGATAGGTGTATAAGAATAGATTAGTAATTTATATATTTGGAGGATATGAAAACACACCAAAATATGCATGCAAGGCAAAAGCGAAGCACAAAGCACCCCAAAAGAGGATTCAATCAGATTAAATGCGTGCAAAGATAAGCAACAGTGACAAAGTAATCAATACAGATATTAGAAACAGTTGGCATGAATATAGATTTTGGTAGAACAATAACAAAATTTTCATAATCAAATTATAACAACTTTCCTACCGAAGTAGGTATCTAATCAAACCAAATCATAAAACACAAAACACAAACAATCGCATTATATTAGAAATCGACCATTGAGTACTTACTTGAACCAGATTCGAAATTAACATCGGCAACATTGACAGAGGAAACCGTAAAATGTTGAAAAGAGATAGAGAAACGAAAGCCGTTTTTGCATCCAATATGTTATTATCGTCAACAAGAACGAAACAAGCAAAGGACACTAGGGCAACCTTCGTTTCGAGAAAAAAATTACGTGTTCGCAGATTATTATTTTGTCCCACAGCCACATAGAAAATAGGAAAATGTAAATAATAAAATTAAGAGAGAATGGAGAGGAGTTTAGGATAGAATAATTTGAAAATTTTCAAGCCTATGAGAGATTTTTCACGATAAATAATTTTGTTGAGATTTGATTTGATTTTTCGTGTGTGAGAAGAGAAACAAGAGAATGTTATTTAAAGTTTAGGAAAATCGAATTAAATTCAGCTATATTGTTGTGAAGAAGAGCAAATTGTGAAAGAGAGAAACTTGTAAAGGGATGAGCAATAGTGACGAGACTCATATTTAGATGAGAATAAACCATGCCACCAGTTTGAAATTGGATAAATCTGAAGAACCAGTAACTTTGCGTCTTGCATACAATTCCGTTTTTGTCGGTTGGACAGCTCAATATACTTTACCTCGATCATGTATACAATCAGCAATGGCAACATAGCCAATGGCATCCGAATAATATCGAACAATGTGAGACAAACGAATGCTCTTTCAGCGGTTAAAATATGATCGTCTCCGGAGTAGACGTATGCAATGAATGTGACGAGTGACACCTTTTGATATTTAATGAATGTTTTTTTTGGAGGGAATTTATATGAAAGGAATGAATTTAAAAAAAAAATTCAACAAAAAGTGTTCATTAAAAATTGGCATTGTAAAATTGAAATCCAAATCTTGGCCTAAAATCTTTGAATTATCGAAAAAAGAAAAAAAAATCACGGAATGTTAATGATTCATACCAAGAACGGAGCACAAGACCAAATAAACGATGTTCCAGCATTCAAGTAGGCGGCTTCTTTCAACACCTTGATTTCCTTTTCACGAATTTTTTGCACTTGCTCCTCGAAGCTGGGCTCCCAAGCATACAGTTTAAGTACTTTGATTCCACTCAGAATTTCATTCATCAGTTTGACACGCTCGTCTTTGTTCTTCATTTGGCGAATTTGAAGAGATTTAATTTTATTCGCAATAACTCCGTTCACTGGGATCAAGATTATCATAACGGCCAAACCTGATTGGAAATAAATCGATGCCATGAAGATCGATGTTTTATTTGAATTTTCAAAGTTCTACAACTCACCAGCCAAAACAGACGGTCCAAGCAAGTCCCACAAGAAGTAAACTGCCAATCCAATTTGCAATGGAGCTGACCAAAGCATGTTGATATAAGTAGTAAGATCCATGAATCGTTGCGCATCGACAGCCATCAAGTTTACAATTTCACCGACCGTGGATTCTTTTCGGGATGTGTTTGATAGGCAAAGTGCCTTTTTGTAGATTGCTCCAACGAGTGCGGTACGGATTCGCAAACCAACCAAAAACATACGTTGAAAATATTGTGAGAGAAACAGAGTTTGTGTACTGGCCACAACGAATAAGAGCACGGCATAGAGAATACCACGCCACAATGGTTCTTGGTCTGGATTTGTTATATAAGTAACGGTTTCAGTTCCATTTGCACTATCTACTTGTTTTACTGCTGAGTTGTCAACAAAAGAAATGATGGCACGAAGCAATTGGGGTGATACAAAAGTTAGAACATCTTGTGTCAACTTCAAAATGGCGCCAAACATAAATGTTGGTCCGAATGCCTTGCAAATAGGTGGCAAAATAGATGCGATACGTTTCTTCTTTTGTTCTGGATTTATTGTGACACTGGCTGAAGTTCGTGTTTTAGTGTATTGAGCATTGCCAGTGAACGCGTTTTTGCTGTGGAAAAAGAACGAATAATGATGAGTGGACGTTAACGGATAGGACTTATTACTTGAAATTGTAACGAAAAATTGATAATTTCATCAAGCACTTACAGATTATAACCGGAAGCCTTGGCAACAGCTCGATTCCAGTATTTCAAGAAGACTGGCATCACTTCCTTCGATGAATCTTCTGGATTCATGTCCCATAAATCGCTTTGTTCAAGTGGTTTGCGATATCCTTTCCATGCCAATGCGTCGAACCAAGCGTACGAAAGTCGAGATAGAAAACTGGCTCCCAATTCAGGATATGGCTTGTTCGATTTCGGATATTTGGTTTGACGCGGTTCGCGATCAGCATAGCAGTTCAATATAAAAACGGCCAATGAGAATATATAGAATATCAGGTAGCTGGTGAAAAAATACTCGGAATATGGGTCGCTAGCATCGATAGCTTGACGATGGTGTCGTTCACGGATTTGAGTACGCAACTGTGGAATTCCGCATATCAACAAGAAAAACCAGAACAAAAATTGCAATCCTGACGTTCGCAGACCAAATCTACGGTTCGCTTCAAGCAACACAGCCGATAGAAGCTAAATGGAGGGAGTTTTCGAAATGATTTCAGTTACACCAACATCAATTACATAGAAAAGTAACAAATAAATGTCTTTTCCAGAAGAGTTGTAAAGGGTACTCACAAATGTGGCGATTTTGATGGCTGGTGTGTAGTATGACACTGGATACACATCTGTGTTCTCATTGTTGATAACAGCTATGGCCAAATCGACGATTGATAGAACGATCAATGCTCCCGTTAAGATTAATTTGCACACATTGGCAAATCCATACGGAACATTTCGATTGATGCTACTTTTGACATAGTAAATTTCTAAGGGCGTAAACAGCCAGAGAAAGGCGCACGGCAGCCATACCAAAGCTGTTTGTTGGAAGCACGGTGTAAAATCGGGATAATCTGTATACCATGTGACATTCAAATCCTGCGAATAACAATGTTGTCATTGAGATTGATACGCAAACATTGAATGGAGGTTAAGTGTCGATTGGTTTTTTTCCTATTTTTTTCTTATTTATCCGAAGATCTCAATAGATGCCATGTATATTCTATTAATACTGTGTAAATAAAATGCTTTTTGAACTTACCCAGAACTTCGTAGTGCCGCATAATTCGTCCAATTTTTCGACGGACATCCTAAAATAATCACAATCAAATGATTGGAGCCTGTATTAAATGGGTGCTTGGCCGCACTAATGCGCTTTGTATTAGACGGTATGTCACTGTCACAACAACGCTTTGACGTTTTTCAACAGATTTCTCGTTGTTTTTATAGCAAGGCACGAGTAAACTGAAAATAAAAAAATAAACGAAAAATTACTTAATTCACAATTTTTCATACAGAAGAAAACATATTTCTACACGGGCTATACAAAAAAAAATCGGTAATTATATTCATCGTGTTCACACATTCAAATGTATTTGTCATGGTTCAGTTTTGTGTGCGTATGAATGCGCCTCTAAAAATCTAGTACATTCTGTTCTGACAGAGCAGTCGTTCAACGCACTTGACAGCGCGAAGTATACTTCGCTATAGCAACATTTGTTTGAAAGTAAAAACAAAATATCACGCTGGTCACAAATTGCTTCAGTCTTACATTCAAGTCGTTGTGTATTTTAAACCCTTATTTTTGTGTGTCACAAGAAAAACTTATATTTCAAAATGAATAAATCGAATTTCCTGGATGCCGAAACCGCACACCTTGATTCCAAATTGCGTATTATTCATGTAAGTTTTTTTGTAACAAAATTTTTTTCTCGATCAAATCAAAGTATTCACTGTGTGTTCCACGCACAAAAATCAATGTTCAACTGATTGTTTAACTCGTTGTTCACGTCGTTTCAATCTTGGGCAGAATGAGTTTGAAGACAATTTGAATGAGCTGCTTGGCGGTGTCAAAGACGAAGCCGAATTGGAGAAAACGCGACCATATAAAATTATAAAACCGGATCCGGGTATGTATCTTCTTTTCTTCGTTTTGTCTTTACTCTGTTTTTTTTGTTACTTATTATTATGTTTCGTAATCTCACGCGCGCGGCCTCTGTTTTGTCACTGTGTATGTGTGTATGAGTTCAGTGTGTTTTGCACATAATAACCCTGACCGACGACGACGACGATGGTTCCTATTTGATTCTATGCCAAGAATCGGGTCTCACACACACAAACATACATTCCATTTGTTTTATAATTCCGAATTTGTGGCTTGTTTTTCAAGTTTTGGACCGACAACTCAAGCGATAAAAAAAAGCATCAAGGTAACCACTTTTTTTTCTCTCTCGTTCAAACTCGAGACGCAACTCTTAAAATGATATCTCGTATACGTGATGTTTTTTATGACGACTGATTTAATGTTCGTTCTTTTTTTGAGTCTTTTAAAAAAATATTCTTTGAATTTTGCGACCAGTTTTACGAAATATTTTTTTTCCACTGGATATTTCGACGGACTATCAAAATTGTCGTTGATTTCAATATTCAACTACCTGAGTTAATAATTGCCTTCAACCACAAATAGCTTTTTCAACGAACGACAAGAATTTGTCTGATGAATCGCGGTCAACATCCACACAATTATTTTAACTATCTATCGCATGAAGATCGTGTTTGAGTAGAATTTTTCTGTCCGCGAAATATAATCTTTGCATGTTGGAAGATTAGATAAGACACTGTTTTTTTTCTATCTCTTGTTCGCCACAATAATTAGAACTCGAATTAAAATTGAATTAGTTTCTCTTGTGATGAATTGGCAATTTTTTTTTCCGTTGTAGATTTAACCACTTAGTATTGTTTATTTCAGTCATTTTTCTTGCTTATTGATTTCGTTTTTTTATTGTATCCACCGTCGTCGTCATCGTTGTTGTGTCTAAAGACAGGGCACATTAAAAGCCCATATAGTTGTGTCGCTTGACAATGGGAAATAACATGGCCGATGCTATTCGATTCTTAATTATAAATTGACTTTGGCGTTGAACAATTCTAAACATTTGATTAGCCATAATCAATATTGATGTGTTATTGTTGAATCAATATTTTATGTTTGTCATTTGGAAATGTTTTTTTTTCTCTTCATTCGTTGTTGGGAGACTAAACAATTTTAAAGAAGGGGGAGCGTGAGAGAACGTGTCGGCAGTTTGGTCGTTTTACATTTCATGTGATTGGCTTATTGGAAATGCGATGGGATCAATAATATACGTGATGGATAAGGTTTCCATTTTAATTCTATCGATTTTCCACCATCATTTTCAACGCGGATAAAATGCGACCGCATGATCTAAATTCATAGTCATTGGAATATTGCCGGTAAATCTGATACACGGCCATAATTTCAAACAGTACAATGTGTACTCTATTCGCATTATTATTGTTTTCAGTGACGCAACTGAATCGCAATGCGAGCGTATGTGTTTGGTCGGTCACACGCTGTATTTACTGTAGCACGAAACACTGATTGTTTATTAATAGATAATGTTGTGTAGTTGCGTTTCGTTTTCACTTATTATTTCAATACACACACACATGCTTAAGTTCTCGTGTTCTATCGACCCGCGTTAAGTTCGTCGCTCAAAGTGGATTGTCTCGTCGATTGATTGATTTTCAAACATGCATGCAGTCATCATTGCTATACATCATTCACTTGAACGCTTCAACGCTTGAAAGTGCATTCAATTCAACTCGGTGATACTAAATTGTTTGCACACAAATTCATTTCAATTGATATAATTCATTTTGATTCGCAGTCAGTGGCACTTCAATCATCTTTGCCTGTATCTCACTCTCTCTGTGTCGCTCTCTCTTGTGCTGCATGTGATGCATTATATAACAGGCCGGCAGTCATTCAGTTTTCTTTTTCTCTCCTTTTTTTAACTCTCTATTGTGAAAGTTAAAATAAGGCATTGCGATCGATTCAGCTTCATTTGAAAAAAAAATATCTTTTTCCACCAGAGAATCATGAATCTCATACAATTAAATGGCTGTTAAGTGATTATCTTGTTTAGAACCGTATTATTAAATTGCGATAATTCTGCAGTACATTGTTGCAAACTGTGAATGTCGAGAAAACAAGCCGGACTGTGCCACCGTTTCATTGACTCTAACGGAGAGAGAGAGACCACTTGATATCATGATCATACGAAAACAAGTACGTACGGATAAAAATTACACTGACCTGATTCGAGTGGGTTATACACAAGCCGCTCATAACATAAATCTAGAGGATTCGTATTATTAATTCCGCAATTTGAAAATGTTGAAATTGAGAAATGATGGAAACAAATACAAGATTTACTCAGATCTGATTTATATCGGAACGTTTCCACTTGACAACATCATGAATTATAACCATTAAATTGAATATGATGATATACATTTCGCGTCGCCCATACCGAAAAAGTGTCAAGTCATTATGAATATGAACAATTGCCTAGAATGGAGATTATTCTTTGGGTAAATTTGCTTGTGAATAAAAAAAATTCGTTATGAGTCGTATGTGGAAAAAATATTGGCGACGAACTGATTCAATTTAGCTACACATAAAATATTGTGTGAGTCCAGTGGACCGGATCCAAATAAATCATTCGCAGAACAAACACATTCATCGCTGCCTATTCGTTCGAGTGCCTCAATTCGTACGAGTACTAAACAGTTCCCTTTTCCGACATAATTGTGACCCATCAAATTATCGTTTCTCATTTTTTTTCACTCATTTTTGAAACTATCACAATATGAGTTTAAAAAAATTAATAGAGAAACAAACTGAAACCGAAATAAAAAATATTTATTCATGTACTAGCTGGCCACTATGTAAAAAACACACTTTTATTTTCGTGCCACAGTTAAATACAATTATGAATACTGAAAATATTTTAATTTGTTCTCGTTTTGTGATTAAAAAAATATTAATTCATATCGAGCAATTAAATGAGTGGTATTCAGCTCGTGCTCATCGCGTCGCAGTAATTTTAAACGCGGAAGAGAAAAAAAACAATCACTTAAACCACTTTTTATTGTTGGTGAGATGCGTGCAACAACATGATCGCATATAAATCAGTTTTGAACATTAAAAAAAACAAACACGTTAAAAAATCACCAGAAACTTTCAATTATATAGTGAAAATTCGAAGTTTTTCTTTCAACTGAACTTACCTCGCGAACGCTACTCACTAAACTGAATCGAAAACATCATCACACTCAATGATTTCCAAGTTTAAAAGTCATTATTTGCCGCTGTCGCCGCTCAATATACACGTTAGCTTCGTTTGTGTGCTGCGTTGAATATTTTATGTACGCGTTTGTTGTGTATCCCACATACTCTTTTATAAACTCTTAACTGACAATATGAAATAGAGTCAAAATGAAACAAAAATAATGCTGATGATGACGACACATCGGCAAAATATGAGGCATACGGTATACACTGTGATAATGTTTTCCGATGAGTCTCGTTTACTCAAACCGCATACACACATACTGAAAACACACAACAAAAAAGAGAAACTGAATGAAATAAGAAGAAAAAAAAATAACAATGGCACAAGCTTCGTAATACTGGCGTGCAATTATTGGTGTTTATACTTGGAATCATAGAAATTGATACCTTTTCTACTTCTCTTTTTTTAATAATCATTAAACAAAAGTATTGATAATGATTTCATGTTGGCACATAGTCAACAAGTGGGTTTTTACCGGCTTTTCGTTCCTTGATTCAAGTGGATCGGTTTTGAAATTTTGATTATTACTCGGTGAATTCAATTTGATTAACAATAATCGAACAAGTGAATAAACATAATTAAATGCGCTTGTTGCTTTACAACCACGAACTATTTTAAATCTAAATAACATTCTTTCCTTTGCCCAGAATATTTTGAATTTAGGACGTTTTCTTTTTTTTCGTATGCAAATATTCGTGCGGTTGACGTAAATAAATTCGTTCAAAAAACGACTTGATCTAAAGATCAGAGAGAGAGAGAGATGTAAAAAATTAGAATTTTAAAATACATTGAGTTAAGTTCGAATGTGCCTTTGTTATGCCCAAATTGGTTTCTCGTTTCGAAATCATTCAATTTCCAATGGTCACAAGCATTGACTTGGCACTTTTATGTTACGCAACATTTACATGCTACCCAAATAAACCGTTTAATCCATCGCCAACACGGTGATGGTTTTATGGCGATTCATACGATGTAAAATGTTCAGAAGAAATAATGTTATAATATGCCATCTGCGGGAAAACCAGTTTTACATGATGGTTAATGTTACAAAGCTTCTTGCCAAACCACTTTATCCGTTCTGTCGTTCGGTTTTTTTTTTGGCAGTCAATCAAATACAAAAACCAATTTGGTATGAAGATATATGTTTATACATGAAGAATATAAGAAATGAGTACAGTGTGGCTCTTTCGATTTAGTTAAAACCGAATCTTCAACGAAACAAGAAAAAAAGACCAAATTCTGATTATGAAAGTAACACATCAGTTCTAACGAGTTTTATTCCCTGCTCCAAAGAGCACAATACTAATTAACACATTTTTCTTCACATTTTTTTATCTCTTCTTTTTCTCTCCCAGGTTTCTGTGTAAAAGCGCATCGTGTGTCGAACAATGAGAAGTGTTTCATCAACATTTGCACATCGGATGGGATTCCAGCACCCGAGGACATCAGCGCTGATCAACTCACCATGATTCTGTCGTCCGAAACGCCAAGCAATTACAAAATTCCAATGAGCATCACCGAACTGCGCTTGACACCCGATAAATCCGGCAAAGACGCTGTCGTTTGTGATGTCGCAATACATCCGCAATTCTTTCGCAAGGTTGAAGCCCTTGTTATTTTCCGTGACTTTTTGATCACCATCATTTTTGAGGCGCTCGACACAAAATATAGCATTCAAATCAATCGTGACACATGGATCATTTTGAAGAATCGCAAATGTATTGGTACACTGGAGAAACATCGTGTCCAAAATCGAGATGTACAAAAAGTCTATGAATCGTATCAAAATCAAACAAAAGAACACAAAACATTGATCAATGAATTTAAAAGTGATGACATTGATAGTCAACGGAAGAGTTTGATAACGGAAATCGATTCACGCACATCCAAAACACTTACGAAGAGCAAAAATTTGCAAACAGTTTCAAATGCTAAAACACCGGTAATACCGTCACCGAAGATCGTTGCCGCGAATACAACACGCAAACCGGATTGTCGTCTTTTCAAAACAACATCCAATGACATCAAATCGTCACCATGTGCTGTCGCTGAATTCTTTTTGCCTGAGGTCATGGCACAAGATGAATTTTCATTGGACTTGGGCCGCGATCGAGTCGTTCTCGAAGCACGACGCGCCGGATACCTATTCGATTCATTCTTTCCGTTTGATATTGATGTTGGTCAAGCCAAAATTGACTTTGATCCCACAAAGCATGTAAGTGAAATTATTTTTCGCCTTTTTGGATGAGTCGAAGTTATAGGAAAAAATTAATTGTATCATCAGGAATGTTGTTATGTGGAACATTTGAACATTCACCGTGATTTAAATTTTTTTTTAAACAATTTCGTCACTTCAATAATAACTTGCGTTGTAATCCTTCTACTCACTTAATCTGGATTGAGTATCACATTCAAAAAGTGCTCTAATAAGATATTATAATTGAGATAACAGCTTTACTCACGTGTATACATTTTTCACGTCTCAGATAGAGCAAAACAATTGCAAACTCAAGCTTAAACCTTTTTTGCAATTCATTTCCGATTATCAACGAATATTTTAATGTTCGAGTTATAAACGTTGGTTATAATCAGCCGGAATATAGCAGTAAAACATGTTAGTCACATTTAAGCAATAAAACAATCCGCTAACCGACGATAAATATCGATAGATTTTGTTCAAAACGTTAATCAGATTTCATTTTTTTGAGTTTTCTATTCATTTCGACATCTTTTATTAATCAACTTACATCATTTTCAAACTCTCGATTCAATTTATTAATCATAATATCATTTTCTCCCTTTTTTCAGATTCTGACTGTGAAAGTACCGCTCCTACCTTAAGTTGTCAAACAACAATCTGCAAAAAAAACATGTTCAAACCGTGAATCTATTGAAGAAAAATAAATCAAATTCCATTTCATAAACAAAGAAGAATCGTTTTTTTTTTCT